TGAGGGAAGAAGCCATACAAATGACTAGGACATTCCAGGCAGAGAGAAGAGCAAATGAAAAGACTGTTAAACTGGAACAAGTTTGGAGTGTTTGAAAAGCATCAAGAAACCTGATTGGGACAGAGTGAGGAAGCAGGACAGTGGTCAGAGAGGGAGGCAGAGGCTGGATTATGCAGGTTCCTACAGGACACACCATCAGGACCGTACTCTCCTGAGGGTTGTCTCTAAGACCCAAGCAGGGTAGCACAATATAAAATAACAATTGGGAGTGTGGATTTGGGAGTCAGCTAGACATAGTTTGATCACTTCTATTTACTGAGCCTCAGTTTCCTTGTCTATAAACTGAGGATAAACTCCTCTGTTACAGGGGTGGCCCAAGCATAAACGAAATTAAATAGGTAAAGATCCTGGCTCCTGGATACTGTTAAATGAATGACAGCTATTAAACTATAAATGCTATATTGATATTATTATTGCTGTTGGCAGTTCATAGGCTGACTTGCAAAGACTAATTAATGCCCTTAGATTATGTTCATAGGTGGTCACGAGGCCAGTAATGGGATTCCTAAAGTCACCCTAACTGTCCAGATTACTTCCTCGGCTGTAATCACATTCTGTCTTCCCCATGTGCATGCCTTGTCTCTTCTGTTATGCTGTCAGCTTCTTCAAGACAAAAATTTAAATAATGAATTATCTTTCTATATGTATACATATTCTAACTTATTTTTTCATAAGAATAGCTGTATAGTGGCTTAAAATGATACATTTATTATCGTATGGTTCTGGAGGTCAGACGTCTAAAATGGGTTGGCAAGGCTCCATTCATTCCGAAGACTCTAAGGAAGAATCCATTTATTGCCTTTTATAACTTCTAGAGAATGCTCTCCTTCCTTGGCTCGTGGTCTCACATCACTCCAAGTCTAATCTCTGCTTATGTCATCATATCTCCTTCTGGTCTCTGATCTCCTGCATCCTTCTTGTAAGGACACTTGTGATTATATTGGGCCCACTTGGATAACCCAGGATAGTCTTCTTACTTCAAGATCCTTAATTTAATCACATCTGCAAAATTCCTACTGCTATATGAAGTAACATGTACTCAGGTTTTGCAGATTAGGATATGAATATCTTTGGGGGGCCTGCTACCACATCTGCCATAATTTATTTCATCAATCCCCTATTGACCAATGTTAAGATTATGTTCAGTTTTTCACATTACAAACCATGCTGCAAGGAATATCTTTTGACTCATGCATTTTCACATTATGTGACTATATCTATTTGATGATGTCCTCAGTGTTGCATTGATAGCTAAACGGGATGTGATAGTTCAAATTTTTTCCAAAACGTGTGTTAATTTTATTATTTTATTCCTACCAACTGTTTATGAGAGCGACTGCTTCCCTGTACACTCCAACCACAGGGTATTATCAAACTTTTATACACACACACACACACACA